GTCAGTCCTGCTTTGGCTCAATTCTTCTTTCTTTTTTTTAAGATATCAGATAGAGGAAGAAAGAGATAGAAACATCGATTGGCTGCCTCCTGCACTCCCCCTACTAAAGATCGAGCTCGAAACCCGGACATGTGCCCTGACCAGGAATTAAATGGGTGACCGTCCCACTGAGCTACACAAACTAGGCTCAATTATTCTTAACATAAATATCCCTTAACTTTTTGTTTTTTGTGAAAGTTACCCATTCTGGTGCTCCTACAAATTCATCAGTCTTCTAAAATTCATTGCTATTAAATACTACATTTTTTACCTCACAGACTGATTGGTATTACATCCCACTTTGACTACAAAATGAAAATTACAGTTCCTATTCTTAAAAAAAATTCACGTCACATAATTTTTTATGTGACTTTAGGAAATTCAGAGTGATACTGGTCATAAATACCCGAGTTAGAATGAACCTATGTTTCTAAGGTACCTAGTGTGTTTGCTGCTACATAACTGGCTGACAGTTCTACAGAGGTAATTAGTCACACTTAATATAGGGGTATTTAAATATTTTTAAAACCATTTTTCTTTTGAAATAATTTCAGACTTTATAGAAAGCTACCCAAAAGAAATCTTCACCCACATTGTTCAAAAGTTACTATTTGAATATTTGATTTTCAAGAAGTTAAATATGAGTTTTTGACTACAAACTAAGGACCAAGTTAATACCTAGGGAATAATAATAATAATAATCTTAGAGTAGTATCAAATCTGATATCAACAATTCCACAATCCCAAATCTCAGAAACTCAAAGGTTTCCTTTCCCCTCCTTTTCCCTTCCTTTCCTTTTCTTTCTTTTCCTCCCTCCCTCCCTTCCTTTTCTTCCTCTTTAAAATATTTTTTAAATTGATTTTTACAGAGAGAGAAAGGGAGAGTAATAGGAAGATAGAAACATCAATGAGAGAGGAACATCATTGATCGGCTGCCTCCTGCATGCCCCACTGGGATCGAGCCCGCAATCTGGGCATGTGCCCTGACCAAGAATCGAACTGGTGACCTCCTGGTTCCCGGGTTGACGCTCAACCGCTGAACCACAATAGCCAAGCTCAAAGTTTATTCTTAACTACTTGTGTAGTAAAACCTGGCTGAGTCCATTTAGTTATTATTTACCCATTATAATATGAACAGTTGCAGGTTTCACTGCAGAAATAGTACTGATTATGCAATGCTACCGTAAACCTCCTAGGAGTGAATATTATATAGTAAACTAGAGGCCTGTTGCACGAAAAGATTCGTGCAAGAGGCTTTCCCTTCCCCTGGCTGCCGGCACCGGTTTTCCTCTGGCACCCGGGACCCAGGCCTTTGCTCCGGCCGAAGCCATCTTCAAGCCTTCGCTGCTCTGGCTGGAGCCGCCTTCAAGCCTTCGCTGCCCCGCCTGGCCGCCCCGGCCGGGTCGCACACAGGACACCCACCGCCCCAGGTTTCAGATAGCAGGCCTGGATGGTGGCAGGGCAGGCAGGATGGCGCTGTCCCACCCTGCCTGCATTATGGAAATTAGCCGCCATCTTTGTTGGCAGTTAATTTGCATATCATGCGGATTAGCCCATGGGAGGCGTAGCAAAGGTACGGTCAATTACCATGTTTGTCTATTATTACATAGGATGTAGTACAGTAAACTATATCCCCAGGATTTCAGATAAGAAAATATATACCTTTAATTGTCACTGTATATTACTTACTAAGTGTCAGGTACTACAGTATTATTTCATTCAATTCTCTCAAAAACCCAGTAAATTTGATCTTACACAAGATCACTTAATGTGCCAAATAGTAGAGGCAATATTTAAATGCAAGTTTATCTGAGTCAAAGCCTTAACCACTTTTGAAAGTTGAAGAAATCATTGAAAATGAGTTTCTTCAAAACATAAGAGAGAACAGAGGTGAAAAAATTATTTTAAAAAATTTAGTATTTGCTGCTTAACTCCTTCCAACAAATAACATTATCATCATCTATAACCTTGGTCATTTTCATATGTATAGCTGAGAAAACACAAGTATCCCAAAGAAGGTACTTCTAAGTGGGGTTTTTCCCCTCTACCCTTAAAGTATAGGACTTTCATTATTTATCTTGTTACTTATATACCACCTTTTAGCAATCAAAATTTTCCATAATCCTGATTTTGCCATGCTTTAAGTTCAGTAAGTATGTCTTCTGTATTCATCTAAATAAGTGCTTCTCAAATAAGGGTGATTTTGCCCCTCTTCTGTGCCCCCACCTCAGGGGACACCTGGCAATGTTTGGAGATGTTTTTTGTTGTCACAACAAAGGGCGCGCGCGCGCGTGTGTGGGTGTGTGTATGTTTGTGGGTTTTTGCTACCAAGATCTGGGTAAAGGCCATGGATACTGCTAAACATCCCAAAATGCAGAAGACAGACCTTCCACAATAAAGAATTCTCTGGCTCAAAACATCAACAGTGCCAAGATTTGTATCACTGATGAAAATGCTGAACAAGAATGAACAAAATATTGAGATTAAAGAGATTACCAAGATGATTAATGAGTAGTAAATATTCCTTAAGTTGGGAACTCCTGCTAATACTTTATTATTCATCCAACATCTGAAGTCAGACATTTTAAAATTCAGTTCGTAGAAAAATCATTTTCATTTAAAAATATAACAGGTCATTTAACAATGAACAAATGGAAAAATTCTGTCACACAGATTAAAATTTTTTTTCCCCACTGAACTGACTCCCAAAATTATTTTACAAATGATAAATCATCTTAACTTAGCAGACTGCATTAAAGTCTGTTACAATTAAACTTTAAGATATCACTCTGAAACTTGTGAACAAATATTCCATATCTCAGTAACAATTAAATGAAATAAAATTAAAATATTATTTTAACCTTTAAAATGGGTAAAAAAAATTTGTTTTTAATACTCACTTGAGGATAGTTTTCCCATTGATTTTTAAGAGAGAGTGTGGAAGGGAGGGAGGAAGAAGGAAGGGAGAGAGAGAGAAAAAGAGAGAGAAACACTGGTTGCCTCCCACACACACCCCAACCAGGCCTGGGATCCAACGCTTCAACCACTGAGCCAAACTGGCCAGGGTATTAAAAGTGTTTTTAAAAAGAGACAACTCAGTAACTCAGTACTAGTAAGATATTTACACAGATATTCTCATATAGTACTACCAACAGAAATAAAAACTGGTTTAACCCTAACTTACTGCTAGCCCCACTTTATAGATGAGGAAATTGAGGCACAAGTCAACTAGGTGCATTAACTTAAGGTCACATAGCTAGGAAAGGCTGATGAGAGAAATTTGAACTCAGGCAGACTGGTCTAGTTTGTGCTCTTAACCACTCCAATTTTTCTACCTCTGTGTTTTACAGACTTTTTTTTTTTTTTTTACAATTATTTAACATGTATCAAAAACGGAAGGCAAAATTAAAGGATAAACAGACTGATGAAAACGTTCAAATGTATGTAACAGAGCAAGAAGAGATATAAATAGGCACATCTGAAAAGAAATACAAATTTAAGAGATCAGCCTCTCTAACAATCAGATAGACAAAAACAATTTAAATATTCAATTAAAGTACAATACAACTAAGATATGTACTCTGATACTATTTTTGATGAAGGTACAAAGTGGTACATTTTTAGGGAAAACAACTTGGAGTCTCTTTAAAAAGTTTAAACCCATGTAGTCTCTGACCCAGTAATTATGCTTTCTAGGAACTAATCAATCCTACAGAAAAAGTCACATAAGCACCCAAAATAATCTATTCAATGATATTTGTTACAACATTATTTGTAACAATTACAAACTAGAAATAAGCTAAATGTGCATGAATATGGGAATAATTAAATTATTATACAGTAGTTATAGTTGGAACAGACAACTTAAAAATAATGAGGCAGATTTGCATTAACAAGAAAAGCAGTCTGTATCAGCCATGGGCAAACTACGGCCCATAAAACTAAAAAAAAAAAAGACCGTACCCTTTTATGTAATGATGTTTACTTTGAATTTATATTAGTTCACACAAACACTCCATCCATGCTTTTGTTCCAGCCCTCCGGTCCAGTTTAAGAACCCATTGTGGCCCTCGAGTCAAAAAGTTTGCCCACCCCTGGTCTATACTATATTTACAAAAGGAAAAAGATTAGCTGGAGAAAAATAAAAAGTGTGCGCCTTTATTTTTGTGAATGCACAAACCAGTCACCTTAAATTTCAAACAAATTATGTCAATTTCCAGACATTTTAGTTTCAAAATGTACAAAGGAATCATCTCACATTTAATAAATAGAAGGCATTACTTTACTTCTGGAAGCCAACCAGGAAAAAGGAAAACCACCTTTACAAATATTTATGACTTGAAACATACAAAAAAAAATAAAACATGTTGAAAAGGTAGAAGGTTAAATAATAATCTGATGGTCTGTCTTTTAAATTTATGGAGTAGTAAAGTTGGAAGGAATCTTAGATTTTACTTAGTACAACCCCCACATCTTACAGATGAGGCCTAGAAAAAGGAAGTAATTTGTACAAGTTCTTACACATACTAAGAGACTGAAGAAGGGACTCAGTTTTTTTTGTTTTTACTCTAAATCCAGAATCTTGACTTTTGAAAGGTATTACCCAATAATTTAGTGGGCTACTTACAATATCCTGAAATCCTTACAGTACTCTCTACTATTGGGGCCTTTTTGATCTAGCACTTTCAGAAAGCAGCAAACTAATCTCTGTTGTATTACCTGTATTCACATTCACTGCAGAGTAAAAGTTTCCCAAGTCTTTTTCTTTCTCATCACTGGCTCTCAAATGAAATCTTGTTTCTAAATGCTTATTTTCAATTTGTATAGTCATCTTTTCATAGACCAATAACAAACAGCTCACAGACCACACTACTGGTACCTCTATATCAAACTAAACCTTAAAAAATGTTCCTGATAAAATCAGAACACCAGATAGACTAAGGAAGAAGTTAGAAACTTACTTCTTATCGAAAAATGTTGAATTTTCTTTCCTCTTGGTGAACCCATTGGGTAGAAGTTTTAAGTTAATACCTTGCCTTCGAGCACGATTTTTTATAAAGCACATCTAACAACAACAAATAAAGACAAATTAATTTTAAAATTCCTTAAATTTCAAAAGTGAATAAAATAACTTTTAAAATATAAGAGTTAAGATTTATTGAATGCTTATATTTTACCAACTGTGCTAAGCAATACTGTTGTTTAATACTCACAATACTATGAGGTAGGTACTACCATTACCCCCATTTTAGCAGTGAGAATTCATAAGATGCCAACATTATACAACTTTTTTTTAAAAAAAAAACCACACATTTTATTTTTTTAATTCTCATCCAAGGACATTTTTCCATTTCCATTGATTTTTTTAGAGTGGAAGAGAGAGGGAAAGACATAGAGAAATAGCAGATGTGAGAGAAACACATCCATTGGTTGCCTCCTGCACATGTCTGACCAGGGGCCGGGGCAAGGAGGAGCCTGCAACCATGGTATGTGTCCTTGATTGGAATCAAACTCGGGACCCTTTGGTCCACAGGCCGACACTGTATCCATGGGACCAAACTGGCTAGGGCTATACAACTATTTCTGAGAGAGCCTGTATTCAAACCCAGGTCTGTGTAATTACAGAGCCTGTGCTTTTACCTATACACTCTATAAGCCAAGAGAAGGATTAAAAAAAAAAAAAAAAAGACATTTGACAAACATAGGTGTTACCTATATAGTTCTTTCTCTTTTACCCATTTTTTGTTGTTAATCCTCACCTGATTAGATAAAGTGATTTGGTAAACACGGTAGTGGGAAACACTCAATAGGTATACCAAAAAAAAATTGTTTTAATGAGGATAGTTTAATGGAACTGTGGGATAACATCAAGGGTAACAACATTCACATCATAGACATACCAGGAGGAAAAGAGAGAGCAAGGGATTAAAAACCTATTAGATGAAATAATGGATGAAAACTTCTCTATCTTGACAAAGGAAATAGACATATAAGTACAGGAAGTGCAGACAGTCCCAAACAAGACCAAATCAAAGAGGCCCACACCAAGAAACATCATAATTAAAATCCAAAAGGCTAAAGGAAAAAAAAAAAAAAATCTTAAAGGCAGCAAGAGAAAAGCAATTAGTTACCTAAAAGGGAGCTCCCATAAGACTGTCAGCTGATTTCTCAACAGAAACTTTGCAGGCCAAAGACACTGGCACAAAATATTCAAAGTAACGAAAAGCAAGGATTTACAACCAATATTACTCTACCCAGCAAGGTAATAATTTAAAATGGAAAGAGATAAAGAGCTTCCCAGATTAAAAAAAAAAAAAAAAAAAAGCTAAACGAGTTCATCACCGCGAAACCATACAACAAAACAAATTTTAAAGGGACTTCTTTAAGAAGAAAAAGATTTTAGCCGGAACCGGTTTGGCTCAGTGGATAGAGCGTCGGCCTGCGGACTGAAAGGTCCCAGGTTCGATTCCGGTCAGGGGCATGTACCTTGGTTGCGGGCACATTCCCAGTGGGAGGTGTGCAGGAGGCAGCTAATTGATGTTTCTCTCTCATCGATGTTTCTAACTCTCTCTCTCCCTTCCTCTCTGTAAAAAAATCAATAAAATATATTTTAAAAAATTATTAAAAAAAGAAAAAAGAAAAAGATTTTAAAAAATGAGTAATAAAATGATGGTAATATATACCTATCAATAATTAACTTTAAATGTAAATGGTTACATACTTTAATCAAAAGACATGAGGTGGCTGAATGGATAAGAAAAAAAAAACTATACATATGCTGCCTACAGAGACCCACTTCAGATCAAAAGACACAAAAACTGAAAGTAAAGGAATGGAAAATAATATCTCATGCAAATGGAAACAAACAAAGAAAAAAAGCTGGGGGAGCAATAGTTCTGTCAGACAAAATAGACTTTAAAACAAAAGGCCATATATAACAAGAGACCAAGAAGGGCCCAGCAATGTCACTTCTGGGTATTTAACCAAAGAAAGCCAAAATACTAATTTGAAAAGACAAATACATCCCTATATTCACTGCAACATTTATAATAACCAAGATATGGAAGCAACCTAAGTGTCCATCAATTGACAACTGGTAAAGAAGCTGTGGTGCATATATACAATGAAATATTACTCTGCCATAAAAGAGTGAAATCTTGCCATTTGTAACAACATGTGTGGACCTAGAGGGTATTATGCTAAGTTATATAAGTTAGAGAAAGACAAATACCATATGATTTCAAACATATGTGTAATCTGAAAAACAAAATAAACAAACAAAAACAGAAACAAACTTACAGATACAGAGAACAAACTGTTGGTTGCGAGGTGGGAGGGGGTGTTGGGGAGCTGGGTGATAAAGATGAAGGGATTAAGTACAAATTGGCAGTTACAAAATGGTCATGGGAGGTAAAGTACAGCATAGGAAATATAATAAAAAACATTGTAATAAGTATATAACTATGTTGTCAGGGGGTGCTAGACTTATCAGGGGGATCACTTCATAAATTATATAAAAGTCTAACCACTATGCTGTACATCTGAAACTAATATAATATTGACTGTCACCTGGAATTAAAAAATAAGAAATATTTTAAAAAATAAAGCCAAATATATAGGCAATTTTATCAAAATGTAAATGAACTTAGTGATTCAGTTAAAAGTTACAGTTGTCAGACTATAGAAGACCAATTATATGGTACTTAGAAAAGACATAACCAGAACATAAGGATACTATAGTAAAAGTAAGGGAAAAAAATCACACTATGCAAATACCAAGCAAAGGACTGTTTCCTGAGATATATATCTAATAATTTAGCATTCAAGTACTAACTGAACCATAAGGGGAAACAAACAAATCCTTTTGATTTTATCTATTGGGAAATGTTAACCTACCTCTCTCTGGAACTGATAAAAAAAAAATCTGTATTGTTATAAACAATTAGAACAACATAACTAATAAATCTAACCTAATATATAGACTATATAGATTTATTAGGAATATATAGACTATATATTCAGCAATTGCAGAATACTTTTTATTTTTCAAGCAAACAGAACACTATAAAACATATCCACATGCTGGGCCATAAACACAGGTCTTAAATGGACAAATTCTTAGAAAAATGTAATCCATTAACAATGACTCAAAAAGAGAGAAAACCTGACCAGTCCCATAAATAATAAAGAACATACCTCATTGGCTCAAACTCTAAGCACATATTAGTTCATTAATAAATTTTACCAAATTCCCAAGAAAGAAATAATTCTAGTAATTAAGTTCAATAATCCAATGAATCAAAAAACAAAATGAAAACATTCCCAAATAATTTTATGAAACTAGAATCATATAGATATGGAAACCTAAGGAAATACTAAAATGAAAAATTAGAGGTCAATCTTACTCATGAACAGAAATACAAAATTAATGAATGAATAATGTGTACACACACATATAAGACAACTGAATGCTGCAAAGTATAAAAGCATGCTTTGTTAAGATAATAACACCTTGTAAGTTTAGCTTAAAATAGAAAACCAAATAAAGGTTTATGAAAAAGTCTCTTAGCAAAGTAGAAATTCTTTATGTAAATATAAAATTATTCTACAAAATATAAGAGCAAACATCATGTTAAAATCTTGAAAGTTTTTTATTTATGGTCAGGAGTTACAAAACAATGATGTACAGAAGAGTTAACATAGTGAGCCTGAGACTGTTATCCTTAAAAGGTTCTGCTTATAAGGTTGACCCTTGGCTGGTGTCTGGGAATTTGACTTATTAGTAAACTAGAGGCCTGGTGCACGAAATTCGTGAAGGCGGGGGGGGGGGGGGGAGTGGGGGTGTCCCTCAGCCTGGCCTGTGTTCTCTCGCAATCCGGGACCCCTCGGGTAGGGTCTCTAGGCCTGCCCAGCAATCAGGGCCTATTGGGGCTTTCCTGTCCCCGGCTGCCAGCCCCGCACCTGCCGCTGCCACTGCTTGCCATCTGTGCGGCGCTGCCCCCCCTCCCCCGGTCACCTCCCTCTGTGGGCGACAGGCGTAAGGTGTGATTGCTTGGCTGGCCTGGGCCTCCCACTGCGGGGCGATCACTGATCGGCCCCGTACACCCACCCCAGTGTCGCTGTCCGGCGGCCAGGGCCTCCTTCTGTGGGGTGATCAATTGTGGGGTCCCCAGATCGATCGCCCCACAGAAGGAGGCCCTGCACACCCACCACAGGGCTGCCAGCCAGGCCTCCCTCTGTGGCTGCGAGCCAGGTTGCCTGGGCCTCCCTCTGCAGGGCGATCGATCATGGGGCTCCGAGATCAATGGCTCCGCAGAGGGAGGCCCTGCCACCCACCGCAGTGCCGCCAGCCGGGTAACCTGGGCCTCCCTCTGCGGGGCGATCATGGGGCGATGGCAGGGACCCCTGACCAATCGCATCACACCCGCCTTGGCTGGCCTGGCACCAGTGCGTGTCATAGCATGGTGGTCCAGAAAGTCATCCAAATGGTCATTCTGCTGTTCAGTCGATTTGCATATTACACTTTTATTATTATAGATAGTTCCCTAAACTGAAATAAAACTTTTCCAAATGATAAAAATGGTTCACTGTGCTGAAACTGTTTTATAAACAATGTGGATTATTTACTTTCCTTCTGGGAGTCTGGGATTTGGTACAAGCTGGGCAGTGGGTGCTTCTGCAATCAGCTCCCAATAAAAACCTTGCACAGTGAGTCTCTAATGGTGTTCCCTGGTAGACAATACTTCACATGTGTTATCACAGCTCACTGCCAAAAGAATTAACTATGTACTGTGTGACTCCAATGGCAGAGGATTCTTGGAAGCTTGTATTTGAATTACTCCAGACTACCCCAAATGCTTTTTCTTTTTGCTAATTTTACTCTGTACCCTTTCACTGTAATAATATACCCATGAGTACAACTGTATGTAGAGTCTTGTGAATCCTTCTAGCAAAATCCTTCTATCAAGCTAAGGGTAAACTTGGGACTTGCAACATAAATATCTCCTGTCATCACTAGTATCTGACATTGAATTGGAAGTCCTAGCTTTTTCAATAAGGGGAGAGAGAGAGAGAGAGAGAGAGAGAGAAAAGGAGAGGGAGGGAGAGAGAGAAAGTAGGGAGGGAGGGAGAGTGAGAGAGACAGATCAAAATATTAAGGATAAAAAGAAATTGATGATTTACAGAAAAAAAAACCCGAAAGAATTTATAGATAAGGTACTGGGATAGATTATAATATGGTTGCTCACTATAAAATAAACAATAACAAAAAAAATCATTCATAAATACCAGCATAGAGATAATAAAATTAAAATGCTATTTAAATTGGCATGAAAAAGTCGTGCCCAAGAATAAATCTAACAAGAAATGTGCAAGACCCCCACTGAGAAAATTAGAGAGATATTAAAGAAGGCACAAATAAATGCAGAGATACAACACAACCAGGATTTAAAGATTCAATGCTAAAAAGATGTCTCATCACTCAAGTTAGTCTATAAAATAAATGGAACCCCAATCAAAATGCTCAGGTTGGGGCAGGAAGAACTATAAAACCAACAGGCTGATTTTTCCGATTTATAGAGAATTACAAAGAATACAGCAATACTTTAGAACAGTGGTCGGCAAACTCATTAGTCAACAGAGACAAGTATCAACAGTACAACGACTGAAATTTCTTTTGAGAGCCAAATTTTTTAAACTTAAACTATATAGGTAGGTACATTGTTATTAACTTAATTAGGGTACTCCTAAGGCTTAGGAAGAGCCACACTCAAGGGGCCAAAGAGCCGCGTGTGGCTCGCGAGCCGCAGTTTGCTGACCACGGCTCTAGAAAATGAACAAAGAGGGAGGAGTTACTCTATCAGATAGCAAGTTTCAATAAAAACAAATAAACAAAAAATTACAACAACAACAACAACAAAAACACACCGCTACAATAATTGGTGTGGATAGACAAGTGGGACAGTTAGCCAGAAACTGACCCAAGCATATATGGATGCTTGATATACGACAAACATGGTCTTGCAGAGCAATAATGAAAAGATGAACTCTTCAATAAATGGTGCTAGAAAAAGTGGATTATCCAAATGGAAAATTAAATGGGACCTCCACTCCCCATGTTACACAAAAATTAATTCCAGGTAGTTTACAGATATAAATGTGAGATGCAACACTAAAAGCTTTTAGAAAATAACTATGGGAGAACAACTTTATAACTTCCAGGTAGGTAAGGGTTTCTTTTATAAACACATAAAACTAACTATGAACAAAACATGATAAATTTGACTACATTAACATCAAGAACATTTATTCACCACAAGACACTATTGAGCGAAAAAAACCCAAAAACCAAAGTATGGAATAATATATTTATAGCACAGACAACCAACAACCAGCATCCAAGAAATACAAAGAATTCCTAAAAAACCAGTAAGAAGAAAGCTGATCAATGAAAAGATGAGCAAAAGCCTTAAACAGGCATTCCACAAAAGAGAAAATCCAAATGGCCAATGAAATATTTGAAAGGTGTTCAATCTCATTAGGAATTAGAGAACTGCAAATTAAAAACCACAATAAGATTATGCAGCCATCTAATGGACAAATTTTTTTAAAAATACATTTTTTTTTATTGATTTTAGAGAGGAAGAGAGAGGGAAAAAGAGATAGAAACATCAATGATGAGAATCATTGATCGACTGCTTTCTGCACACCCCAGACTGAGGATCGAGCCCACAACCCAAGTATGTGTTCTGACTGGAATCAAACTCTGATCTCCTGTCACAGGTCGACACTCAACTACTTAGCCACACCAGCTGGGCGACAAAATTTTTAAACTTTGACCACATCAAATATTGGACAGGATGTGACAATAGGGACATTTACACTCTATTGGGAGCTGGTATAACCACTTTGGAAAATGTTTTGGTAACACCTAGTCAAACTGAAGAGATGTACACCCCACAACAAAGCAATTCCACTCCCAGATATAAACCCCTGAAAAACATGTGCACATGCAAACTACAATTCACAAATAAACTGTTCATAGTAGCATTGTTTCTAATTTTTGTCTTTTGTTATTACAGAAAACTCAAAATCTACCAAAAAAAGAATGGATAAATTGTGGTACAGTCTTAAACTAGAAAACTATTCAGAAATAACAATGGATTAGAGAAGGGCACAAGGGGGAGCAGGGAACTTTTGAGAAGCAAGTGAATGTTCTAATTTTAGACTTGAATGGTAATTAGATGGATGTTAACTTTATAATTATTCATTAAACAGTGTATTTCGTTTATGCTTTTTTATGTGCAAGCCATACTTCACAAAAAGAAAAAAATTAAAGAGTAATTTATCTTTTAAGTAGAATTCTAATTAAGCTTAAGGAAAAAAGTTGATGCACGATAATCTTTCTTTCAGATACATGTAATGTCATGTCTGTACTAAAAACACCAATAAAACATGTTTAAAAGGTATTAAAATTCTGAAACTTCAATATTAAAATAGTGTCTGAAAAAATGAACATAATTCCATGACATCATTTAATATCATTAAAGAATTTCTGGAACAATAGCAGTTGCAAAATATTTCAAATATGTAAGCTTTAATTTTGAATAGTGCTCAATGAATGAAAAAAGGATGAACCCTAGCTGGTGCGCTCAGCTGGTTAGAGCATCATCCCATACACCAACAGGTCTTAGGTTGGATTCCCAGTCAGGACACATACCTAGGTTTTGGGTTTGGTCCTTAGTTGGGGCACGTATGAGAGGCAACAAATCGATGTTTCTCATTTTCTCTCTCTCTTCCTCCCTCTATCTAAAATCCATAAACATATGCTTGGATGAGGATTTTAAAAAAAGGGATGAAAGAGTATGAAAATTACGTGTATTGAAATAGCAAGTCCTATTAGCTATTCCTTTAAATCCATAATCTAATTGCTTCCTAATAATTCTAATAGCATAGCATTATCATCCCGTATCTGAAGCAACTGCCTTTAAACTGGTCTCGCAGCTTCCAATCTCCCACTCTTACCAGCTAAAGTCCATTTTCCAGACAGCAGTAAGAATGATCTTTCTAAAAGCAAACACTCTCAGAACCTTTCTATGCCTTCTAGTTTCACTCAGAATAAACTAGAACGAAAGTTCAACATTCTCACTTCAGTCGCTTTGCCCTTATTTTAATTCTTCAAACACACCAGCCTTGCTCCTGACTATCTTTACTTTTGTCTCTTCCTGGTATAGTCTTCCTCCAAATGTTCACGAGACTGCCTCTTTCTCATCATTCAGATCACCGCTTAAATGTCATCTCTAAAAGCAGCTTCTCCTGACCCCTGTATCAAAAATAGTACCCTCACAACCTCTTCCCAACAAACAGTATTCTCATTTTCTTTAACCTCCTGTGCCTTCTTTATTTTCCACATGCACTTAATTCCACCTGAAATTAAATATTTTTTTCTACTCAACTTCTGTGTCTCCCCTTACAATACAAGTTCCATGAGGTGAAGGCCTTTGTTTTGGTCAGTGCTGTATCCCTAGTAACTGGAATAGACTTCAGACCATAGTGGCCACCTAATACATTTTGTTGAGTGAAAAAAATGAATCTAATTAATTAAAAGGAATTCTAACTGGAAAAGATTAGAAGAAATACTTACATGTTTATTGCTTAATGATCTTTTCAATAAAGCATCTCTGGAAATATGGTCTGCTGTTCTTGCCACATCTTCCAAAAATCGATAATCTAAAAATTTCAAAACAGAAAAATAAACAAACGGCATATAGCAATGGCCAGGAAGCATCAATCTGCTATGCATAAGAAGGCTTACCACTTAGGAGATCCATTTCAGTAAACTGTTGTAATGAAACATAGGCAGTTTTATCTCGAACTCCATTACATGTCAGTTCTGCTTTGTGTTTCTTTACACAGGGCAAACTAAAGAGAAAAGAGGAGGCACTTTTATATTTTGAAGTAACAATGGTACAGAAAGAGATAATAAGGTAGGAAATTATCTATAACAATAAAAGGGTAATATGCTATCGAGACCAGATGTCTTCCGGACATCCTTCCTGACGAAGCTGGGGCCAGAAGGAAGCTAGCCTGGGCCTGGGTGCCTGCAGGTGGCACGAGGGAAGCCAGCCTGGGTCCCGGGTACCTGCAGGCAGCCAGAGGAGGGAAGCCCGGGTCCCGGAGGGAAGCCAGCGCCAGCAGCCAGGGGAAGGAAGGCCTACTCTTGCACGAATTTTCATGCATCGGGCCTCTAATATATATATATATATATACACATACACACACATACCTGCAAGAATGCCGCATACAACGTGGACATCTGTACTTGGCTTCTTCTGTACCACAAGTTTCACATCTACAAAGCGCACATGAAACGTAGTACATTATCAATTATTAATTCTACTTATTTGTTTATAAAATTTTAATCTGAGTCAATTACTTATCACAATCAATTTACAGGCATAGTGAATAAAATATATGAAAGTAACTCTGACAAAATACTCAACAGCTGTCAAACATTGTTAGAAAATTCTCTTCTAGGAAACTGTCCCCAAATGACTACATTTACAGTATTGTTAGCGATATGTAACTCAAGAAAATATGTATTAGATTTGTTTAAAAAAATCATCTCACTTTTGACTTCTTTTACTACTATCATCAGAGAAAGAGATGATTCCATGGCATTTTTAACTTGCAATTCCTGGCAATCTCTTAACGATGGTGTGTGTGCTATATCCAGAAGTTCAATCCATGAGTTATGTTTAGATATATTAGAGGCTCACACCCCAGTAAAACTGTGTAAGACTCAGTCCAATTCGGAGAACAGCAGTTGAATCTTTTTCCTCAACTACACACCCAACCTGGAATGGGCATCAGAATAACCTAGGTCTGCTATTACTACCTGTCTTCACCTGCTATTCTAGGACCTATTGCGTTCTAGATAGTGAAAGTCCCAAGAATCTGATCACTCTTTACTTCCTATGTCACTTGACCACACACAACTGGAAAAACAAATAAAAATAACGAATAGTCATGGTATCCTTAGAACACGAAACAACTGGATGCGTTTGAGTGCATTGTTGTATGATTTTAACTTAACCCACTTTGTCATTGTTAGTTTATTAGCCTTTTCCTCACCTCTATCCCCCCCTCAAACCAATACCGAGTCAAGGGCACATTAAGTCCAGCCAGAACCTGGTCCAGGGGTTTCTGGTCCCCAGGGTTTCCATCTCCTGACTTGCTCACGGGGCACCACCAACCTCACATATTTTCATTGAATCGGTTACCTGACAAGACCCTCCAGCCCCAATTCCTCGCTCCCCACTCCCACGACCCGGGTTCCAGGGACCCAACTTGTGCTTAATTTTCTGCACCTGCTGGTTGTGCAGTTGCCTTCCAACCAGACATCGGAGGACCCCGCAGCTTCATCCCCGCCCATGGATTCCCGAAGCCCTACCTTGACATGGCCAGTTTCCGCTTCGAGCCCGCGGGGCAACTTATCTGCGGCTCTTCTTTCACCTTCGTGTCATCCAGCGCTTCTTCCTTCGGGAAATACTTTTCTTCTTTCACACACACCTCATCCATCGTCTCTTCCTTTATGTTCTGAGCAAACACCATCTCTTCCTGTTTTATCTCCAAGTTATCTTTCCTCTCTTCCTTCACTTCTGGCCAGTCCATCACCTCTTCCTTCACCTTCACTTTCTCTTCCTTTATCTCTGGCCCATCCACCTTCTCCTCTTTCACCACCACACCGCCGTCCGCCTCCTGCTTCACCTCCCAGGTGTCCGGTTTCTCCTCCTTCACCTCAGGCCCGTCCTCCGCCTCCTGCTTTATCCACCGGCCGCCCAGCACACCTTCTTCCATTTCCGACCAGGTCGTATCTTCTAGCTTCACAGCCGTTGGAAACACCCGCGTTTCCTCTGCCCTCTGCGCACCCGCTTCTTCTCCATCCCCTATTTTCTCCATTCCTGTCAGCCCCTTCCCCGCCTCCCCCGCGCCGGGTTCGAGCGGCGGCCGCGCCCCCTCGGCTCCGCGCTGGAGACCGCCTCCCGACGTGGCTTCATTTTCAGCAGCAAAATCCATTAGCTCACGAGCCTGGGCCTCCGCTGCCACTCTATCCGTCAAGGTGGCTGCTCCACGCCGGCAGGTAAGACTTACAAGCGAGAAGAACTACAGAGGCCCACGTGCTACAGCAAGTCACAGGCCGTGAATGCCGACCCGGCGTATTCCTCCAGACGTCGTAAAGCAACGCTTCTGCGCCACGCCACTTCACGACTCTGAGAGATCTTTACGGCCCTGCGGAGGTCCCGCCCAGATCCTCGGAGAGAATTGGCGTGAGGCCACGCCCCACCGTGGTCCCGCCTTCAGGGCGGGCTTTGCCCAACATTTACCCTGGAGCGGCCGCCTCCGCCCCACCCTCTGCGCCTGATTACAAACTAGGATCCGGAGAGAAGCCGAACCCTAATCTTGGAATGGGAAGACCCACCCTGATCTGTATGAAGGATTAACTCTAATCTCGTATAAAAATGGGATGCATATGTTACGCCTCAACAAGCTTCAGTTCTTCACCTGTGCACTAGGGATGATGGTATTACAAATCTCTTAGTGTCACTGTGAAGATCAGATGGAATCGTGCGTGGAAATAAGCTAGCAGTGATGAAACAAACTCAGTATATGGTGGCTCTTATACTGGTAATCCAGATAGGTTTCCTGTAGAACAGAAGGCATAACTTTTATTCTGTCAATCCTTCTTAATAGCCCAAATCGTGGGTTTTGTTAGGTTTTGTTAGCAGGATTCTCTGCATATCTTTTAATTTTATTTTTCCCACCTCTTTATTGTTTCCAGATATTTTCTGGGAGGTTTCCCTAATTTCTACCTTACTAATATGTTATTTGATGGTATCCAATCTGTTTGTCAACCCATCCACTAAATTCATTTCAGTTGATATGTTTTTTCATAACCAGTATCTTCAGCTTTACAATATTCTCTCATATCTTTGTAGGTATTTCTTTTACTCGTTTAAAATGCATCACTTTTTTTGTCCATTAATTCTGCTTCTCTAGTACAAATTGTCCAGTGTTCTAACAAATTTTTACTCCTTAGATGCTGTAATATTTTCCTCTGTGATATCATACTTCTTTGGGAATATCAGCAACCTTAGCTATAATTCATACTGGAAAAGGGAGCATCAAAGCCCCAGTGATTTTTTGTTTGTTTGAGAGAAATGAAGAGGAGAGCGGATGAGTCTTAGGGTAGAAAATCTTTGGTGTTGCAATCTGGGCTCCACTTGTCCTAGTCTGCCCTTCCATGAGGAGAACATGTTACCCCTGCATTTGTCATCCCTTTTCCAAGAGCTACTGCATTCTGTAGCTAGACCCCAGGATGGAAGAAAGAGAATAAAATAACTGTTCCAAACTAACCTGTATTCATAGCTAGGAGCTTTATTGATGTTACTCTTCCTCCTTGGGCAGGTGCTGGGCTGGTCCCGCTGTTTTCTATGCCCACCTTGAGTTGGGGTGGGCTGTGATCCATCTAGGATAATGTGGATAGAAAGGGCACAATCAGAGATATCTCCTATTCTACCCCTTGCCTCCAACAGTGTCCATCAATGACTCCAGGCTTTCCTTTTCCCACCACAATGAGACCAAACTCCCTTTCATTTCCTAGGGGTTTCTCAGAACTTCTAAGTTAGGCTTCAAGATCCATCACCTCCTTCTCACTTACATAACATTTCAGATTGTCTTGGGGACTCCAGGAGGGAACAGTATTATTAGTTAAGAATGGGATTCTCCATAGTGAACTTTTAGAAAACAGTAACAGTAATACATTTCTTAAATGCTTTAAAGGTTGTTCCAATATCCTCCCCACTGGGCTTCCCATAACATTGCTCATATATTCTCAGGGTGCAAGAGGCTTCCTTATATTCACAATTTGAGGAAATGCAGTACTTCCCACATGCTTGTCCATGGACCCTTGCATCAGCATCACCTGTTATACTTGGTCAAAAACAGATTTCTGGGCTTCTCCTGGAGGTATTGAACCAAAACAGAGTGAGCTGTTGGGAAATATTTTCTTTTTAATTTTTAAAATTTTTATTTTCCCCCTATTTCTATGAGTTTATTTCTTTGTTTAATTGCTTCACCTTTTTCACCCCGCCCTCCAACTGCCTTCAGCCTGTTCTCTGTATCTATAAGTCTGTTTCTATTTTGTTTGTTAGTCTATTTTGTTCATTAGATTCTGCATATAAATGAGGTCATATGGTACTTGTCTTTCTCTGACTTATTTCCTTAGTTCACTTAGCATAATACTTTCCAGGTGTCACAAAAGGTAAGTTTTTTTTGTTGTTTTTTATGGCTGAGTAGTATTCTTTTGTGTAAATGTACCACAGCTTTTTTACCCACTTGACTACTGATGGCCACTTGGGCTGCTTCTATATCTTGGCTATCTATAATAATAACAGCATAATATACTAATTAGACCGGATGTCCTTCCATACGACCTTCCACACAAAGCCAGGGCTGTGAGGGAATCCTGGGTCCCGGGTGCCAGAGGGAAGCTGGTGCCAGTAGTTGAAGGAAGGAAGGCTTACTCTTGCACATATTTTGTGCGTTGGGCCTCTAGTTGTAAATAATGCTGCAGTGAACATAGGGGCACATATATTTTTTTGAATTAGTGTTTCAGGTTTAGTTGGGTATATTCCCAGAAATGGGATTGCTGGGTTATAAGGCATTCTATATTTAATTTTTTCAGATAACTCCATACTGCTTTTCTGCTGGGAAATATTTTTAACAAGTATCTCTGTGTGTACTTCTTATGTACATTCAAGTTATGGGTGAAGGAACAACTGCACTGTCCAATACGACAGCCACTAGCCACAGTGGCTATTGAGCCCTTGACATGTAGTCATCCAAATTGAGACATGCGAGAAGTGTAAAATGCACACCGGGTTATAAAGTCAGTACAAAGAATATAAAATTTTCATTAATAACATTTTTATATTGATTACATGTTGAAATGATAGTATTTTAGATATATTAGGTTTTGTATAATGCATTATTAAAATTAATTGTAACTGTTTCTATTTACTTTTTAAGTAATACATCTGGCTCACATATTTCTATTTAACAGTGCTATACTAGAAAATGTTATTAAAATTCAAATTTCAATTAGTTGGGGTTAACATAATGTGAATACTCAAGAATTAGCACTCTAATTTCAAACTATATTACAAAGTTATAGTAACCAAAATGGTATTGTACTGGCACAACAACAGATACATAGATTAATGGAACAGAATAGAGAGCCCAGAAATAAACCCACACCTATGTGGTCAATTAGCCTAAGACAAGGGAAGCAAGAATATAATGGGGTAAAGATAGTCTCTTCAATAAATGGTACTGGGAACACTGTACAGATGCATGCAAAACTGTGAAAATGAACTGGTTTCTTGCATCATACACAAAAATAAAGCCAAAATGAATTAAAGACTTAAATGTAAGACCTGAAACCATAAAACTGCTAGAAGAAAACATAGGCAATAAACTTTCTGACATCAATCTTGGAGTTTGTCTCCTGAGGCAAGGGAAACAAAAGAAAAAATAAACAAATAAAATTACATCAAACTAAAGAATTTTTGTCCAGCAAAGGAAATTATCTACAAAACAAAAAGATAACAAGCTGAATGGGAGAAGATATTTGCAAATTATGTGTCTGATAAGGGGTTAATATCCAAAATATATAAAGATGACTGATTGTTGTGGCTCAGAGGTTGAGCATCAACCTAGGAACCAAGAGGTCACCAGTTCGATTCCCAGTCAGGGCACATACCTGGGTTGCAGGCTTGATTCCCAGTAGGAGCCATGGAGGAGGCAGCCAATTGAAAATGTTCCTTTCTCATCGATGTTCCTGTCTCTTTCCCTCTCCCTCTCCCTTTCTCTCTCTCTGAAAATCAATAAAAACATATTTAAAAATCTATACTAATAAAAGGGTAATATGCTAATTAGACCGGGAGACCTTCCGGACATCCTTCCGGACAAAGCCATGGTGGCGGGGCAGAGGCAGAGGTGGTTAGGAGCAATCAGGCCAAGAGGGAAAGGCAGTTGGGGGTGATCAGGCTGGCGGGGGGCGGGGGGGTTGGCGTTGAGGGCAAGCAGGCCAGCAGGAGGGGCCAGTTGGGGGAGAACAGGCCGGTAGGTGGGGCAGTTGGGGGGAAGCAGGCCGGTGGGGGGGGGAGGGGCAGCTGGGGGTGAGCAGGCCAGCCGGCAGAGTGGTTAGGGGTGATCAGGCAGGCAGGCAGGTGAGTGATCAGGAGTCAGCGGTCCAGATTGCGAGGGGGATGACATCCACCAAGGGCTCCCAGATTGGAGAGGGTGCAGGCTGGGCTGAGGGACACCCCCCCGTGCACGAATTTCATACACCAGGCCACTAGTCTATAATAATAAAAGCATAATATGCTAATTAGGCCAGCTAGCTGAACAACCTTCTGGATGTCCTTCCAGATGACCTTCCGGATGAAGTCAGGGCTGCAAGGGCCAAGGCAAGTTGCTGCAGCTGCGAGGTCCGAGCACCTTGCATGAATTTTGTGCATTGGGCCTCTAGTATATGTATAAAGAACTTCAACTCAGGACCAAAGAAGAACACACACCCCAAACCAAACAATCTGGTTAAAAATGGGCAGAGGACCTGAAGAGACATTTTCCAAAGAAGACATACAAATGGCCAACAGACATATGAAAAGATGCTCAACATCACTATTCATTATTTGATTTGCAGGAAAATGCAAATCAAAACCACAATGAGATATTACCTGATACCTGTCAGAATGGCTATTATCAAAAAGTCAACAAGTAAGTGTTGGCAAGGATGAAGAAAAGTGAGGACCCTCATTTATTCACTGTTGGTTGGATTGTAAATTGGAAAAGCCACTATGGAAACAGGTGGGATGTTCCTAAAAAAAATGAAAAATAGAACCAGCATATGACCCAGCAATTCCACTTCTGGTCATTTATCCAAAGCAAACAAAAACGCTAATTCAAAAAGATGTATGCATTTCTATGTTCATTGTAGCATTATTTATACTAGCAAAGATATAGACACAGCCTAGGTATCCATGAATAAATGAATGGATAAATAAGATACACAAACAATGGAATATTATTCAGCAATTAAAAAAGAATGAAATCTTGCCATTTATGAAAACTTAGATATACCTAGAGGGTATTAGCTAAGTGAAATAAGTTAGAAAAAGACAAATACTGT